AGAAGCTGAAGTTGAATGGTTCTATAAAGACCTACAAGACCTTCTAGAACTAACACCCAAAAAAGATGTCCTTTTCATTATAGGGGACTGGAATGCAAATGTAGGAAGACAAGAGATACCTGGAGTAACAGGCAAATATGGCCTTGGAGTACAGAATGAAGCAGGGCAAAGGACAACAAAAGTTTTGCCAAAAGAATGCACTGGTCGTAGCAAACACCCTCTTCCAACAACACAAGAGAAGACTCTACACATGGACATCACCAGATCGTCAATACCGAAATCAGATTGCAGCCAAAGAATTGCAGCCAAAGATGGAGAAGCTCTATACAGTCAGCGAAAGCAAGACCAGGAGCAGACTGTGGCTCAGATCATGAACTTCTTATTGCCAAATTCAGACTTAAATTGAAGAAAGTAGGGAAAACCACTAGCCCATTCAGGTATGACCTAACTGAAATCCCTTATGATTACACAGTGGAACTGGCAAATAGATTCAAGGGATTAGACATGATAGAAAGATAGCCTGAATAACTATGGATGGAGGTTTGTGACATTGCCCAGGAGGCAGTGATCAAGATCATCCCCAAGAAAAACAAATGCAAAAAGGCAAAATGGTTGTTTGAGGAGACGTTACAAATAGCTGAGAAAAGAAAAGAAGTGAAAGGCAAAGGAGAAAAGGAATGATATACCCATTTGAATGCAGAGTTCCAAAGAATAGCAAGGAGAGATAAGAAAGCTTTCCTCAGTGATCAATGCAAAGAAATAGAGGAAAACAATAGAATAGGAAAGATTAGAGGTCTCTTCAAGAAAATTAGAGACACAAAGGGAACATTTCAGGCAAAGATGATCACAATAAATGACAGAAATGGTATGGACCTAACAGAAGCAGGAGACATTAAGAAGATGTAGCAAGTATACACAGAAGAACTGTACAAAAATGATCTTCATGACCCAGATAACCACGATGGTGTGATGACTCACCTAGAGCCAGACATCCTGGAATGTGAAGTCAAGTGGGCCTTCAGAAGCATCACTATGAATAAAACTTGTGAATGTGATGGAATTCCAGTTTAGCTATTTCAAATCCTAAAAGATGATGCTGTGAAAGTGTTTCACTCAATATGCCAGTAAATTTGGAAAACTTAGCAGTGGCCACAGGACAGTAGAAGGTCAGTTTTCATTCCAATCCCAAAGAAAGGCAATGCCAAAGAATGTTCAAACTACTGCACTGCTGCACTCATCTCACATGCTAGCAAAGTAATGCTCAAAATTTTCCAAGCCAGCCTTCAAAGTACATCAACCCAGATCTTCCAGATGTTCAAGCTGGTTTTAGAAAAGGCAGAGGAACCAGAGATCAAGTTTCCAACATCCATTGGATCATAGATAAAGCAAGAGAATTCAAGAAAAACATCTACTTCTGCTTTATTGATTACACCAAAACCTTTGACTGTGTATATCACAACAAACTGGAAAATTCTTCAAGAGATGGGAATATCAGACAACTTTACCTGCCTCCTGAGAAATCTGTATGCAGGTTAAGAAGTAACAGTTAGAACTGGACATGGAATAACAGACTGGTTCCAAATTTGGAAAGGAATATGTCAAGGCCATTGTCACCCTGTTTATTTAACTTCTATGCAGAGTACGTCATGAGAAATGCCAGACTGCATGAAGCACAAGCTGGAATCAAGATTGCTGGGAAAAATATCAATATCCTCAGATACACTTATGACACCTCCCTTATGAGAGAAAATGAAGAGGAACTAAAAAGCCTCTTGATGTAAATGAAAGAAGAGAGAGAAAAAGTTGGCTTAAAACTTAGCATTCAAAAAACTAAGATGATGCCATCCGGTCCCATCACTTCATGGAAAATAGATGGGGAAACAATGGCAGACTTCATTTTCTTCTGCTTCAAAATCACTGCAGATGGTGACTGCAGCCATGAAATTAAAATATGCTTGGTCCTTGGAAGAAAAGCTATGACCAACCTAGACAGCATCTTAAAGAGCAGAGACCTTACTTTGCCAACAAATGTCCATCTAGTCAAAGCTATGGTTTTCCCAGTAGTCATGTATGGATGTGAGAGTTGGACTGAAAAGAAAGCTGAGTGCCAAAGAATTGATGCTTTTGAACTGTAGTGTTGGAGAAGACTCTTGAGAGTTCCTTGGGCTGCAGGCAGATCAAGCCAAGCAATCCTAAAGGAAATAAGTCCTGAAAATTCTTTGGAAGGACTGATGCTGAAGCTGAGTCTCCAATACTTTACCACCTGATGTGAAGAACTGACTCACTGGAAAAGACCCTGATGCTGGGAATGATTGAAGGCAGGAGGAGAAGGGGACAACAGAGGATGAGAAGGTTGGATGGCATCACTGACTTATGAACATGAGTTGAGCAAGTTCCAGGAGTTCTGATGGACAGGGAAGGCTGGCGTGCTCCAGTCCTTGGGGTCACAGAGAGTCGGACACAGCTGAGCAACTGAAATGAACCAAACTGAACTGAAGATCACTCCACAGAGGTACTAAATCAGACCCTGCATTTTAACCAGATTTTCTGTGATTCCTGGGCAAAACAAAATGTTAGAGAAGCACTTTTTGAGTGTCTCTAGTTGTCTGCCAGCACTCAGAAAGAAATAGGCAGACCAAGAGCGCCATTCAGTGTCCCTAACTATGTGCCTAGTAAATACACATGATGGAAGGTTTAAATAACTAGCAAGCTTTTATTTACTTAGAATAGTGAAATATCTTGAAACAAAAAGTGCAAAGTTTATTTTCTAAAAAGAACAAGTCTTTTATATAACTCCAAAATCTTTTATTTAGGAAAGCCATCTTTTTGGTAGGATGTCTGGCTTTAGGGATGATGATGAAGACTCAGACATTCATGCTTCATGTGTATGAATCTGGATTCAATTTCAGGCATCAAGACCAACTTCTTAGCAGTATTAAGTCTTATACAGACTTCTTTGTCTCTTTGATGTTAAAAGACAGTAAGCGTCCCTTTGGGCTTCCCATTTGGCACTAGTAGTAAAGAACCCACTTTCCAATGCAGGGGAAGTAAGAGACAGTGGTTCGATCCCTGGGTGGGAGAAGAGGACCTGGAGAAGGGCATGGCAACCCACTGCAGTATTCTTGCCTGGAGAATCCCATGGACAGAGGAACCTGGCGGGCTACAGTCCATGGGGTCATGAAGAGTCGGACACGACTGAAGCGAATTAGCACGCACACAGGCAAGCAGCCCTTTACTTCTGCGAACTGCCATTTCCTTGACGGTAGGGCCGCGGTGAAAGAAGATGATGAAAGAAGACAGAGTTTGATGAGAGAATTATTTTTTAATTAAAATTTTAATTGAAGAACAATTATTTTACAATATTGTTATGGTTTCTGCCATACATCAACATGAATCACATATATACCTGTAGCTGATTCATGTTGATGAGAGAATTCTAATAAAGGATTTTTTCATATGTGGAACTGATTACCCACCTTGAACTAATTTCTATTTTCTTTCTTTCTAGATTTGCAAATAAACAAACCCCTTATCTCATGTCAGTTTTGTATACGTGAACTAAACTAAGTACACAATTTTATATCATAAACCTTCGATCAAAGCCTGAAGCAATATATAGCTTTCAGGACTGAAGTTTAATTTTATGAATTAATTAATTTTATTAAATAGTTTTTATAGCTAAAATTCATACATATTTAGGTTTGGATTTAATAAAAGTGATTTGAAATGGATTTTGTCATTTTCTAAATTATTAATTTTTAAAATTAAAATATGGTTGATTTTCAATGTTGTGTTAATTTCAGGTGTAAATCATGGTGAATCAGATATATATACTTTTTCAGATTCATTTCCCTTACAGGTTATTACAAAATATTGAGTAAGACTCCTTCTATAATTTTTAATGTAGTTTCCTTCTTTCCTTTTTGGTGTTGTAGAAGAAATATCTGAAGAAAAAATTTTAAATATCTCAGAATTTCCAAGGCATTTGTCAATTCTTTATTATTTCATGATTAATTATCTTCTCATAAATTTGCTACATTTCCTAAAGTTATTATATTTTGATATCTGATAATACAAAGGGATTGATTAATCTACTTTTGGGCTCAAATAAACAAGGAGGCTGCTTTTCGTTATGCAAATGTATATTTCTGACTTAAAAAATAATAATTTGCTTACTAGTTGTAAATTCATTCACATTGGTTTATAGAGCTTTCCTTAATTAAGTAGCCTAAACTTCTGGGTATAAAAGAGTATTTCTGGAATTAGGGTAATGTTTTTGAAGCTCCTGAAAATACAAACAAATGTCTTATTTTTTATTAGTCATTGCCTAATAAATGTTGAGTTAATCTATATATTTTATAGATACTCAAGCAATGCCATCTTCAGAGAAGGTACTTTACCACTTTATCAAAATATAATGAATGAGTTGCTATAATAGCATTATATTCTCTTGACTCAACTGCACCTCACTTTATAAAATTATAAAATAGCACATGGCTTAACTGCTACTACCTCTTCTTCCACCTGTCAGTGAAGATTTGCTTATCTCAGGCATCTGCTGTACATGTCAGCATTCTTTTTCACTCATTTGCAAGTTAACCGTGGTTGCTGAATTCTCTTCCCGTAAGTTTCATTCAGTTGTTACTCAGTTATGTCTGACTCTCTGACCTACAGTAGCCCATGCTTCCCTCTCCATCACCACACCCTTAAGAACCACCCCCACCCCGATAAATCTGAGGTCTTTTCACTTGAAGAAATGACTCCTCTCCCTTTCCTCTAAATCATCGGAGTGAGAAAAGCAGATCCCATCCTTTCACAGGTGGCTCACATTACACTGAAACAGGTCCAGTATGTTCAGGTACACTTATTTTCTGAAATATCTCTATAGCTATAAGGACCACATTTCCATACTTTTAGCAGTACTTTTTTCTAATTAGCTTTGTTTGCATTGCTTTTTGCTCTTAAATAATTTGTATTTTAATTGAAATTTTCTTTTTTAGCTGTGTTTTGGGGTGACATTGCCTTAGATGATGAAGATTTAAATATCTTTCAAATTGATAGGACAATTGACCTTACACAGAACCCCTTTGGAAGATTTGGACATACCACAGGTACGTTTGATTATTTGACTTGGTTTGCATTTATTTAGAAGAAAATATACTCTTGAAATGCTAAAATACAATTTAGATCATTTTGAATGTTCTGGTGATCAAATTTTATTTCCTTGATACAGATTAGTCTATTTATAAATTTAAGTTTTATTCATAAATTCATAATTTTAACTTTATTATGTAATGTAGTTAAGAATGGTGTTATAGTGTTCACCATGTACAAGGCCTGGCTTAAGTACTTTGCAGGTGTTAACTCTTTGAATCCTCATAATGACCCCATTATGAGTAGCTGCTGATGTTATTGTGGTTTACCTGGAGATTTATAGGTTATGTGCTTTTCTTGGGGCTTCCCCCGTGGTCCAGTGGTAAAGACTCTGCCTGCAGTGCAGGAGATAGGGGTTCAATCCCTGGGTCAAGAAGATCCCCTAGAGGAAGGCATAGCAACCCATTCCAGTATTCTAGTCTGGAGAATCCTAGGACAGAGGGGCCTGGTGGCCTACAGCCCATAGGGTTGCAAAGAGTCAGATATGATGGGAGTGACTGAGCATGCGTGCATAGTTTTCTGTTGTCACACCGCCAGGAAATGACTAAGTCAGGACCAAGGTTCACTTCTGAGGAAGGTTAAATTTCATACTCTCGAACATTATATTCAATTGCCTCCCATTTGAATATTGAGATGCAGAAGGTAGATTATTCTTGAGTGATTATACACAAACATATTTAGAAAAAATTATATATCCATTTTTATAACTTTTATGAAAACCTGGAAGACAGTTTCAATTTTAGCTGTTTGCACATGTTTGAATTATGCCTATATGTGACTTGTAATATTTCAAAGATATTTGGGTTTTCATATTAAAATAATTTAATTAAAATTTGAAAATTATTTATATAATCTTGATACAATTTTTATTCTGTATTTTGGAGAAAATTGAAAGGTTAAAAATATAAAATTTCTTTTTGTAGTTATAGCTAAAGCATTTATTCAGTCATGCTTTTTGATTTCATTGATCTCTCCTCCTGCTAATGCTATTTTTATTTCCTTCTTGTATTCCATGGGAAATATATAGTCCCTTTGTGGTATCTAGCAGACAAATATATTTTAGTCTTAAGACTCTTTACTGTGAATTAACAAATCTCTTTTCCCAATTTTCTTTCCCACGAGTTTTTATTATGACAAGCTTCCAAAATATAGTGAAATTGATAGGATGATGCCGTCAACACCCGTACACCTCAAAGATGCAATAGTTGTTCAGCCTACCATATTTGCCCTGTGTATGTGTGTGTGTGTGCATGCATGCATAAGTATGTATAAAATATTTTGAAGTTAATTGCAGATAGCATAGGGCTTCTCAGCAGCACCAGAGGTAGAGTCCATTTGCCAATGCAGGAGCCCCAGGAGATGCAGATTCAATCCCTGAATCAGGAAGATCTCCTGGAGTGGAAATGGCAAGTGTTCTTGCCTGGAAAATTCCATAGACTGAGGAGCCTGGTGGGGTACAGTCCATAGGGCTGCAAAGGGTAGGACACGACTGAGTAACTGACCACATATGGACACATGCACACAAATTAGCTTTTCAATGTTAAGTAGGTTAGCATGCCCTTTTAAGAATAAAGACATTATTGTACATAATCAAAATGCAAATGTTACATATGAGAAATTTATGTAAGGTAATAAAACTTAAGAAATGTATTTAAAAGAATATGGTACTTAAAAATAATAAGCTTTAGTCTTTGTTATATGTAGTGAGTCTTTTCTGAAACACACAACCAAGTATATGAGGAAGCTGCTTCGCAGTGTAGTCACAGAGAGTCCATTCCTATAGGGTGTGTTTTTTTGTTTTTTTTTTTATAGGGTGTGTTTATTGACAGACTGCAAACACTACCTCACACTTAACACCGTCACTGTCCGGCAACAGTGGATTTCAAAAAAGACAGCAATGAGACAACTCAGCAGAATCTTACATTTATCACATTACATTCTCAGTTTTCATTAAAACTTTTGTTAGATTTATGCTTTATTAAAGTGATTTCTTTAGCCCATTGTCCTCTCTTTGTACTAAAGATATTCATTTTCTGTGATTTAGAAAGTAATTAGCCTCCAATTAATAAAAATAAATGGAAAAAAATAAAATAAAATGAAGATGAAAAAAAGAAAAAAGAAAATTAATACTATTGGGTTGGCCAGAAAGTTTGTTCATGTTTTTCAGGGGTTCAGATTTTTCGATTTTATATATTGGTCAACCCAACATATAATTTTGTAATTTCATTTATAGTTAAGCTCTGAAAGGCTAATATTTGGAAGTAAATTATTATTTATAGAAAATCATAAAACAAAATCATGCTGTCATAAAGACATATTCTAAATATATATGTGAAAAGTACATGTTTCAAAGTAATTTGCACTATTCAGCTGAAGTTCCAACATCATAAAAGAATTCTATAGTTTGTTTTTACTCTCTTTTCCCTTTCTTGTTAGTTTGTGCTGCATTGACTATATTTCTTATTTGAAAATATATTGTATTTTTCATAAATATTTTGTATAATTTCATTTTAGAATTTTTTAAATATGAGAAATAAATACATATTATGAATTTTATTATTTCAATGAGCTATCTATGCATAATTTTATTTATATTGCTATAAAAATTTTCAAACTTGCTAAAATATTAAAATATTATTGACTTTGATAATCTTGAAATGTTTTTTCTCATCTATAATATTCTTATGCTTATTATTTACCTTAATATTAACTAAGACATTTATTTTTTCTTCATAATTAGCCTCCTTCTATATCTATGTGTTTCAGGCCTATCTAATATACCATATAATTGTTTTGCAATGATCATTTCAAATACATTTTTATCATCCTTTAAAAATGTTTGCTATAACTGCTTAGGAATGAATACACTTAAGTATTACCTCATCTTTCTAAAATGTTCAATGAAAAATATTTCAAAAATTTTTCTCAAGGAGCATAGCAAGAATGTGACTATGTAATTCAAACAATTAAGCAGACTATTATTCAATGAACAAGCATTCTAACTTCTCTGCCTTATACGGACTTAATTGATATTTTCTAAAAGATGCTTATATGTTAACAATATTTATTACTTTTTATTAGCTTCAATCTAGGTAATTATGTTTTAGAATTAATTTCAAAGGGAAAGGAGATATTGAAAGGAAATAGTTCAAAGTGCAAGAACATGTTGTTGTTTGCATGAATTTCTGGTACTCTTTCATTGTCTTAGCCCACAGGCTCATGAATCACTTGTTCTGATATCATTAGTGATCATATTAGTTGTTTGCTCAGTGATAACTCTTTGTATTTGTCCATCAGAATTCAAGGAGAAGGCAAACTAGGTGATAAAATTAAGAGAACATTTTGGGAAAAAAAAATAAGAGAGCATTTTGTTAAAGACCTGGAATGAGGATCAGAAGACTTGGATTTTCATCAAATGTTCTGCTTTGTGATTATGACTTTGTTCTTAAAGCTGCAAGAAAATATATTTTCTTATCCCTAACCCCCTCCTCTACATTGTGAGCTATAAAATCTTTATATCTTTTTTATAAAGATTGTAAATTGCACCAACATAATAAAATGTATTTTGCAGCTGGGCATCCTTTCAGATTCTCACTTTGTGACTTTTTAAAAAGCTATGTTATTGGTTTTCGTAAATTATAGAAACTAATTTTCAAATTTTATTTGAATGCATTATATTCATTACATATGCTATTAAAAATGTATCAAACTTGATCCAAGGTTTGGAGCAAAATTTACACTATACACTTGCTTTTTTTCTTTTTCTAGTTTCATTGAGAAAAAATTGATGTACCTCATGCTCTTTTAGTGTTTTTATTTTCGTCTGCTGATTTGCCATCTGAAAGTATTTAGTTTGCATTGGGAAAATAGCTGGAATTCAATCAACACGGCAGAACAATTTGGGTCTCTTCCTATATAATACTATGTGTTGTAAAGTTCACAGTGGGGAAAAAAAAGTCTCAAATTGTCAATAGATGACTCAATTGCTATGATGTCCAAATAAATTGATTTAGATAGCTCTCTGATTTTCTCCTACCTCTTTAGTTTTAGTTGCAATTTTTTTTAATTGATGGATAATTGCTTTACAGTATTTCATTGGTTTCTACCATATTGTAGAATTTTTACCCCCTTCCAAGATTAATGGATATTATTACTTTAATGCAATTATATAAGACCACATAAAAAGAGATGTCCAAGGAGAAATCAATGTAACATGTTACTATTGCTTATTTACAAGAACTTTAATTTACAGTGAATTTAACTTAACTATTTTCCTTTACTCTTTAAGGTGGATTTGGAGACCATGGTATGTCAAAGAAACGAGGGGCCCTCTACCAACTTATAGACAGAATAAGAAGAATTGGCTCTGGTAAATCAATGTTCAAAGTTGTAGACTCTTGAGTTGCTGTATAGTGAATATTATACTCATAGCAGTTCAGTTTGCCGTTAAGATTCAAAGGATGGAAAGATGTATACTGAGAGAGTCCTTTATTCCTTTATATTAGTTGATATGTGATGGAAGATTTTGGAACTTAGTTGGGACATTTAAAATATTTTAACTTATTTCCAGCTTCTCCTTAATAAAAAATGCATTAGGTGTTTATTTTACTGTTGATATTTATTTCCAAAAAATTGGTATCACAGTAAGGTGTTTTATCAAGTGTGGAGCTACATCAGTTTTTGTCAAATGAAAAAATATGAATGCTTATTTTGAAACTAAATCCACTTAAATTGGTAAACTGATAAATTAGATTAAAACACAATTAAAATATTTTTAACTGTTCCAAAACTATGTATAGGAAAAGATTGAGAGAAACCGCTTTCTGGATTAATGATTAGTTAATATTTAAAATGTTGAATTTATTAGTCACTATTTGTGGATTTTAGAGTTTCTTTTTAAAGTCTCCTGTTCAAAGTTCATATACTAACTTTCCTTCAGTTGATTGATACTAATTAATTATGCCAAGAGTTAATTTTTCCAAAGCTAAGATGCTTTGCTCTAGGATATTAAAAAATTAGATATGTTAGGGACACAGATATCAGGGGCAAACATTCAATGTTCATTGTGTTTGAAGTGTATGGAAGCTGTAAGCCATTTGTGTCAACAATGATATATCAAGAAGGAAAGTAAATACGAAAGTGTAGGAAAAATAGCACCATAACAAAAAATTGTGAAAGGCTACCGAGAAAAGTTAGTGACTGCAGACCTGAAAGCTACTCCATAGCAGACCGCGTTTTATGTTGGCCTGCTCACCTTGTATACTGATCTCTAAATCATGCTGTTGTCTGGATACGAATCCCTAGGAAATTGGAATAGATGTAGCCCATTGTCCCAGAATCTGAGACCATATCTGTATTATCCTTATTTCATTTACTATCTCTATTGTGTAATATTCACACTTTGTATCTGTACTACGGGATATCAATTCTGATTTAAAGGGTTAGAGATTTCACAGGAGTAAGAAAGGTTTTGGACAAAGTAAGACTTTTTAAAAATGTCTTTTTAATTCTATTGGTGAATTTCTTAGTTATCTAGTAAAGTAGAATACATAAAAGAATTTTTCTGTGCCTTACAAAGTCTGCAGACTTCTGTCCACTGTAAGCTATTGTATTGAAAGTCATCAAAATTTGCTTATAGAGAGAGCATTAGGAAATAGTATTTTTTTTAGCTACTTAAATACTTTAACACTTTACTCAAGTATATAACATAAATGAAGTTTTTCTTTAATACATTTTGATTTCAGGCATATTTATATAAATATGTAAATAAGACATTTTAGCTTGTCCTTTAAAAGGTAAATGATTCTCTGACCAAGGACTTCTGTTTCACAGAATGTTTTAAATGTCACTGCAGGCTTGGAGCAAAACAACACAGTTAAGGAAAAATTACCACTGAAATTCTCAGGGCAAAGTGAGAAAAATAGAGTTCCCAGGGCTGCTACATCAAGAACTGAAAGAGTGTGGCCTGGAGGTGTTATTCCTTATGTCATAGGAGGCAACTTCACTGGTAAGATATTCCCAGAGGGTCTATTTTGATGATGGAATAATGATTATTATATAGACTAAGTATATATATTTTATAGAATACTAATACATAAAATATAGTATTAAATATAAGAAAGATTCCATTCACCTCAGTTGTCAGCATATCTTGAAATTTAAAAACATATATATATTCTTGAGTTCTAAGAATCTAAAGAACTATTCTGGTTTGGTTATAGTGGTGGCATCTATCTGCACAGCCAGGCTCGGGGCAGAGGAGACACATGCAGACTTCTCTCTGGAACAGGCACTGTTTTATTAATGTCATGCCATTTTTCCAGGCAGCCAGCGAGCCATGTTCAAGCAGGCCATGAGGCACTGGGAAAAACACACATGTGTGACTTTCATTGAAAGAGGGGATGAAGAGAGTTACATTGTATTCACGTATAGGCCTTGTGGGTAAGTAGAACCAGGGAATGAGTTAAGTAAATATAGAAGGGAAAAAAGTCCATAGATAAGATTCACTTTTCAAATATTTGCTTAGTCTTATGCCCATTAAAAGTATGAATAAATGAATACTATATTTTAAAGAAATGTATTCTTTGATCACAGACCTCTGTGCATCCTCCACCACTGCAGCTGCCCTTCCTTCTGTTCCAAATATATGAAAGCACTGCCCACTAACCTGAGTTAGAAACCTCAGTTTTGTCTTCAGTGATTTTCAGTTTTCAACACATTGTTTCTGTTGATATCCACTATGTCTTTTTGTTTCCACTTTTATTCCATGTCAGTCCTCCCGTCTGTTCAAGCCTTTGTCTTCTCATACGTGCTCTATTTCAACTGCTCTCCTGTCTTAACTCATCAATTCACTGCCATTAGAATTATCTTCAAAAAATACTAATCAGAGCAAAATGCCACAATTTTTGAGATTCCTCAGTGTTTATAACAACCTACAGTGGTGTTTTCTAGATTTGCTTCTTACAGGATGATAACAATACTCTCTTCAAAACAACTATCCTGTACGTTGTGAAAATACTGTGTTAAATTTCAGTAAGTATTCCTACAAGTAGTGTGCTAAACCTGCTAATATTCAGCCAATTTAAAGGAATAGAGAATACAGCGTCCCCTAAACTTATTTTAAAATGGGAACAGTTATCTCATGCTTCTAATAGTGAAGAATGTGGTCAGTATCCCAGAACACATTTTGGGAAATGCCAGCCTGAGAATAAAATCTAGCTTCTTGGATATAACATTTGCCACAGCTTGCATTTACTGCTGCTTCTGCCACGACGCCTCTTCACAAATCCCATAATCTAGCCAAGTTACAGTAATAGCAGTCCTCTGAGCAATTCAGTATAGTGTAAGAAAGACTTTTCATTGTGAAAATCTTGTGAAAAGTGAAAGTGAAGTCACTCAGTCGAGTCCGACTCTCTGCGACCCCACAGACCGCAGCCCACCAGGCTCCTCCGTCCATGGGATTTTCCAGGCAAGAGGACTGGAGTGGGTGCATTTCCTTCTCCAGAGGATCGAACCTGGGTCTCCTGCACTGCAGGCAGACGCTTTTACCATCTGAGCCACCACGGAAACCCTTTCCCCCTGTATTTCCAGTTAATTGGAACTTATATTTAAATATTTGAGTATTTAAATTGTCTCCATTTATGTTTTTTTGCTGAGATTAGTTGATAGGGCACATTGTCTACTTTACACTACATCACATCAAGAGGCACGTGTTCCTGTACCTACCACCTTAGTGATGCTAATATTTATCAGTGGATTCAAGTGGTGACAGCCACGTCCCTCAATTTTAAGTCCCCATCACTGGAAAATAGTCATTTTCTCATGTTGTTGTTTTCTTTTATTCTTTCTACATTTAGCTGAAATTCTCTTATAAAGAGGAATTACCTCGAATCAGCTATAGCTATTTGATACCTTCTATTATTTTTCATATGGGGAATTTAAATAAAATGCTTAAATCCTTTGGAGGAAATAATTCTTGCCCTAATGTCACATATTCTGAGGATGGGAAATGTATATATTTCCCTAGGTGTTGGGGGCACTACATCATCTGGCTTTGTCCCATCTATTTTCCTAGAACATTTAAATTAACTTAAAAAGTAATGAGTTTTAATTTGGGTTCTATTAATTGACATTAAGGAAAAAGATACATTTTTTTCTATTTATTTTGGATAGTGCCATAATTTTTTACCTATGAATTATTTACACAGTGTTTTCTTCTAAGTTACTTTATTTATTCTTGATAAGTTTTGATTACATTTGAAGTCTCTTCTAATTCTTTATATATGATGGTTTAGTCGCTAAGCCATGTCCGACTCTTGCAACCCCATGGACTGTAGCCTGCCAGGCTCCTCTGTCCATGGGGATTCTCCAGGCAAGAATACTGGAGTGGGTGGCTATTTCCTTCTCCAGTGAATCGTCCCGATCTAGGAATTGATCTGGGTCCCCTGCATTGCAGACAGATTCTTTACTGACTGAGCTACAGAGAATAAAGGTCTAAATCTAGACTATCTTTCCTTCCTTCTGGTTATCTAAGAGGAGTGGATATAGCTCAGGTTATATATTTCTAAATATACAACATATTCAGATCAGTACATCTTTTTTTTACCCACCCTTCAATTTTGTAAAATAAATACATCCAAACTACCACTTAATTGTTTTATTGCTCAATTTCTGTTTGTAACAAATTCATATATATATTCATTTTGTTTTACTAGTTTGGTTCTTTTCAAAGTTTTCCATTTCACTTGTTTTACCCTGCTAAGCTATTTTATTTCATATATTTCATTCTCACCCATTTTTGAGCTATCCACAGTGGTACTTTGCTCTACAACAGCTGTCATAACTCCATTTCCACTGTTGGCTCAGATGTCTGCCTTCATCAGTGATGAGGGCAGGGAGCTTACCTGTGTCCCTCATGACACCCAGCACACTGCTTTAGGGGTAGGCTACCAGGCAAGTATCAGCAATTTACATGTCAGCTAAAGTTCATTGTGTATAATCCTAAAATAAAACAATGTAAGAATTCAAAGGGATTTTTGAAAAACATGTATTCAAGAATTTAGGGATTTGAAAACTGAAGCTATGACTTTCCCCAGGATACTTAAATCTATAGTTACATTCCTGAAATTAGACCCTTGAGTTTACTTGTTACTGTTATAGTAGCAACATTGCATTTTGGTGGTTTGTTTTGGTGTTGATTTTCCAGTTCAAAGTTTGCACCGTATTATATTTTTTCAGTGATAGGAAGGATGATACTTTTTATTCAACTTGATCAGGGCCTACTAATCATTCTAATCATTTTGTGACTTCTAAATTTTATTTGAAATTACCATTATTGGCCAAAATTTCATGAAATAGTGATCTTTTGTCATGATGCTGCTGCATTTATAGCTCACAAAAATTAATTTAAATTATCAAAGAGTTTGACAGTTAATATTGCACAATTTAGTGAAAGACATCTAAAATAAGATATATTTTGAGTCAAACACTTAACGCTCTACTGGATTCAGTAATGGGTCTTTTTTCTTATAAGAGATGTGATATATAATATATCACATTTAACAACAGCTAGTATTGTTGGATATGAAGAACCTGTAAGGTGGTCCATTGATATGAATGGCAACATTTATCTGCTCTGTTTCTAGCTTTAATTTGGAAGGTAAATGCATCTTATTGCTTATTATTATCATCACTTTGACTGAGTTTACCTGTTAAGTCAGACAACTTGTAACTCTTACAAGTTTTAAAAATAAAAGCTGAAATAATCTCCATACTGGAATGGGTTGCCATTTCCTCCTCTAGGGGATCTTCCCAACCAGTGAAGTTAGGAGTTGAGGAATTATTAAGTATCTGTCTGTGCTTGCACTCATTCATGTCTGATTCTGCAACACTTTGGAGTGTAGCCCACTAGGCTCCTCTGTCCATGGGATGTTCAAGGCAAGAATACTGGAATGGGTTGCCATTTCCTCCTCCAGGGGATCATCCTGACCCAGGGCTTGAACCCACATCTCCTGTGTCTTCTGCATTGCAGGCATATTCTTTACCCACTGAGCCATCAGGGAAGTCCATTATTAAATATGGAATCGTCTATATAATTTAGAGCATGAATTTCCTTTAGTATTCTGCTACAGTCAATTTTTATTCAATAAATATTTATTGGGTATCTAATTCCATATCAAGCCTTTGATAGGTGTGGAAATAATAAAATTTTAAAAAGAAAAATGTAGAAATCAGAACTTTTTGCTATTTAACTCTAGTGCATTTCCTATTTTTAAATTGAATTATGATTATACATTATATTCTGCATATGTGTATGTATATATATTCACATGCAAGTTTCTAGATATATGATATCTTGCTTCATCTACAATGGTCATAGGCTTTAATCTCTATATTGGCAAAAGTTTTAACCTGAGCAATAAATATTTTTCAGTGAATATCTATTACCTTATTTGGCATTTATCTATTTTGCAATATTACTAATTATAACCAGAAAAAAGTGAGACCATTTTAAAACAGAAGTTGTTTGATTTTATTCTTTGTCAGAGATTTATGTAACTGAATTTTTATCTTCAATTATTATATGCTAATTTTTAATGATTGCCAAAAAGCAATCAGACTTAGAAATAATTTATTTTCTTATTTTCTAGATTTTATGTATTTTAATTGCATTTCTCTTTGGTAATATTGATTATTCAGATTATGATAGTAGTCACTTATCCATCCTTTTCTATTGAATTCTCATTTCATGTCACTTATGCTAACTTTGGGACCTATAAAATTGAGCGTAAGGTGTTTTCTTGGCTTTCCCAGGTATCTTAGAGGTAAAGAATCTGTCCACCAATGCAGGAGCTGCAGAAAACGAGGGTTTGATCCCTGGTTGGGAAGATCCCTTAGAAGAGGAAATTGCAACCCACTCCAGTATTCTTTCCAGGATAATTCCATGGACAGAGGAGCCGGTCAGGCTACAGTCCTGGGTCTCAGAGAGTTGGATACGACTGAAGCGACTGAACAGACACTTAAAGGGTTCTCTATGCTAGGAAGTTATAGTTAGGCAGAGGAAGTGTGCTAGCCATGATTCTTGTTCTCAAACAGTGAAGACTGGCTAACTTAAACAGAAAACAATAGGAGCAAATTTTCTGTTATTTATATAAGGAAATTATTTTTTAAAATTTTGGAAGGAATTTATAGAATTGGACTAATAGAAAAAGTAAAGAGACAAACTGAAGGAGGAATCTCAGCCAAGAGCATGTTGAATTATTCACCTTGAACATTTCTATGACTTCTAAGGATGCTTGCTCCTAACTACTAGAGTCTTAGCTCTGTCCTGTACTTTGGGGCTCTGTTCTTTCAATGAATATTTATTATTTTTTTTACCTTTTATTTTTTCCAGTTGTATTGAGATATGTTAATAATTGACATATAACATATTGTTTTAAGTGTATAAAATGCTTTTAAATTTGTGTATATTGTGAAATGATCATCACAATATTTAATTAACATCTACCATTATATATAGTTACACATTTTGTTGTTGTTGTGATGAGAACTTTTAAGATCCACTCTCTTAGCAACTTTTAAATATATGATATGGTATTGTCAACTTTAGTCACCATGCTGTACTCAGGAATAACTGAAGTATGTACCTCTGACTACTTTTCACCCATTTCACCCACCCTCAGCTCTTGCTTCTGGCAACCAACAATCTGTTTTCTGTATCTATTGAGCTCTATTATGTGCCAGGCTCCATTCTAGGAGCTGGCATTTTGGCAGTGACCAAAACAGTGAACAAAATAGGTTTTCTGCCCACAAAAAGCTTACATTTTTTGTACGCAGGCAAAAAACCTGTGAACATAAATGAAATATGAAATATATTAATAGACAATAAATTCTAGGACCAAAAGAAAAGTAGTGAAAGTGGGATGGAAAGGTATTTGTATAGAATTTGAAAAAGTGGAGGAAGCAAGCCATACGGATATCTGAGAAACAGAGCTCCTGACATAAGAAATAGACTGTAAAAAGACTCTGAAGTAAGAGTAAATCTGCACACTCAGGACCCAGCAAAGAAACTTCTTGGCTCAAGTGGAGTGACAGGGATGCTAATAAGAGATGAGATCTAGAGACTAAGAAAACTCTTGAGAATCCCTTGGACAGCAAGGAGATCAAACCAGTCAATCCTAAAGGAAATCAATCCTGAATATTCATTGGAGGGACTGATGCTGCGGCTGAAGCTCCAATACTTTGGACACCTGATGGGAAGAACTGACTCATTGGAAAAGACCCTGATGCTGGGAAAGATTGAAGGCAGGAGGAGAAGGAGACGACTGAGGATGAGATTGTTGGATGGCATCACCAACTCAATTGACATGAGTTTGAGCAAGCTCTGGGAGATGGTGAAGGACAGGGAAGCCTGGTATGCTGCATTCCATGGGATTGCAAAGAGTTGGATGCTTCTGCATAACTAAACAACATATATAGTAAGATATTTATGTGTGAAGATTCTGTATTATCTTATAGTTTTTCATATATATATATAAGTACTTTAGATTTCCCTCTGAGCAAAATAGAGAGCCTGTATCAGTCAGCTTAGGCAATTTATGATGTGATGAAAGTGAAAACTGAAAGTGTTAGAGTCTCAGTCGTATCCAACTCTTTACGGCACCATGGACTGTAGCTCACCAGACTCCTCTGTCCCAGGAATTCTCCAGGAAAAAATACTGGAGTGTGTTGCCATTCCCTTCTCCAGGGGATCTTCCTGACTCAAGGATTGAGCCCGAGTCTCCTGCATTGACAGGCGGATTCTGTACCGTCTGAGCCACCAGGTAAGCCCTTATGATTAGTTAATAGCTCCCAAATCTCAGTGACTAGAGCAAAAAACACTTGCTCCTTATTCTTATTGTATATCTGCCACTGTTTGCCTGTAGCTCACTCCAGAGGGGTTAATACAGTATCCAGTCTGATGGAGAAGCCTCTTTTTGGAATATTGGAATTGTACCAGAAAGAATAGGAACAATTTAGTCAACCATATTTGCTCTTAAAAATTCTCTCTAGAGATAGACACAAAAAACAGTTTGTGCTCACATGACATTGTCCAGAGCAAGTCACATGACTGAGCCCAGTCAACAGGGTAGAAATGTATAATTATCTTCTAGAAAGGGGTAATATTCAATGATTTTCAAATATTGACACAATTTACAATACACTCATTGGATAATGTTCAGTACAGAAATAATCTGACTGGACATTTAAAAATTATATCTATGACAAGAAAAGACTGCTGTGAGGAAGGCAGAGAGCTTATAGAGAACATTCTTTTTACTTACTGACTTTGCTCACCAGTCTGAGATCAAAGTAGAGAATAGCGGGTTTTGAGCTACCTTCTTACTCTCTATAGCTTAGTGGGCTTTTCTAAAGGTGATGAAAGTTTTCTGAGAGGGTAAGTAGATATTATAATGGCTGAGCTTTAAAAGGAGCACTGAAATTTGAAATTAAAAAAAAGTCAAAAGCCATGCACAAGGAAACAGCATCAAATCTGGATGACATTAGAAAGAAACTAAGACAAGTTAAAGCCATGTTTTTATAAGCCTGTCATGTCATAAATAATAGTATGTGCATATATTTAGCTATTTAGTCATTTGAGCATCTAGAATTCTTCTGTTCCTAAACCAATGCATTTCCCATTCTTCACAGGATCATTGTAAAAGTCAGTGTGAAATGTATTCTTGCTTTCCGTTATGAAATCTCATTTTATATATTAGAAATTATTATGGGTAAAGTTATGCTAATAAAAAATGCTTCAGAATAAAAGAATTGACCACTTTAGATTTAAAAAATCAACTTCATTGCTTGACTATCTGTCTCCTGGATTTTGATTTGCAAAGTATTTTCTTCTCTGACTATAACCAGCAAGAATGACTCAATGTAGGTAATTTAGTTGCTGTATGATCCTCAGATATTTCAGTTTCATTATCATTATTTTATGGTACCAAATATTTCAGTTTAATCCTCCCTAAAATTTGCAAATTTTGCTACATGTAATATTTTACTATTTCAGTACATAATAAATAACTATGTGTGTGTGCTTAGTCGCTCAGTCGTATCCGACTCTTTGCAACCCCATTGACTGTCACCTACCAAGTAACTCTGTTCATGAGATTCTCCAGGCAAGAATACTAAGATGGGTAGCCATTCCCTTCTCCAGTGGATCTTCCTGACCCAGGGATCGAACCCAGATCTCCTGCATTGCAGGAGGATTCTTTACCATCTGAGCTGCCTATGTATGTATAAATTAAAATGTGCTACTAAAAAATCTAACTGGGAGCAAAAATACAATTCCTTGATTTTTTTCCCTACCACTTACCTCACTTTTCTATTATCAATTCAGTATGCATAATTAGCTGTTATAATAGATACATAAATAATAAGTTGAATTACCACTTCTAACTGGCAAGGAAAAAAAGAAAAGATATACCCTTTGGTTTGCAGTCCTTTGGACTGCAAGGAGATCAAACAAGTCAATCCTAAAGAAAACCAACCCTGAATATTCATTGGAAAGACTGATGCTGAAGTTGAAGCTCTAACACTTTGGCCACTGATGCGAAAAACTGACACATTGAAAAAGACCCTAACACTGGAAAAGAATGAAGGCAAAAGAAGAAGGTGCTGCAGAGGATAAGATGTTTAGATAACATCAATGAGCATGAATTTGAGCAAATTCCAGGAGATAGTGGAGGACAGAGGAGATTGGTATGCTACAGTCCATGGGATCACAAAGAGCTGGACATGACTTAACGACTGAACAGCAACTAGCATGGAATAAGTTAAGACCTGTAATCATTTAAAGCCTACAGAAATTTGTAACACTCAAAAAGACTATGAAATGTTCTTTCTCTGAAAAGTGAACTTAATGACATGCATTTTATAATATTTTGGCAAATTAATTTTGAGCAATTTCCTCTTTTAAGAAATTAGAAAAAGGTTTTGGTGTCTGGCACATCATAGTTCCAATCTATTTAAGACCAATTATTTACTTCCTGTATTGTTCTCTAGAGGGGTGGCTCTTAGATAAGCCATTTTAATGCAAACCCTAATTGTTGGAATTTTAAGTGTAATTTTATTGATAACTCTAATTGTAGTTACTGTATTATTATACATTTAAAACTTATTTTAGAGTCAGTGTCCTTATGTGTCCACCCTTGCATGTATGTACAAATTCTTTCATGCACATTGACACATGTTTTATGTATGCACACACACAAAACACACAAAATGGAATTTCTACATTTTGGGAAGAAAACTATCATTGAATATGTATAAATATCAGTAAATTGAGGAAAATTTTCAGGAGGATACTCTGGCTGGTTCACATTCTGACAGTCCAAGATATTCTTTCAGAAGGTGAAATGGACTAATCACACCAAACTTTACCTGACCATTTGACAGTTACTGATTTTTCTTCACCAGTCAACCATTAACCCTAGATAATTTACCTCTTGAAATTAATTTTCCTGTATTGACTTCTTTTAAAAGAATTCCTTTTTAAAAAATTCTCCCATAAGGAGGAGAAGTAATTCATTTTTTAATTAACCAACATCTTTCACAAATTTAATTGTTTTTTCAAAGTAGAAAAATAAACTTTGTTTTTATTTAATACTAAAATAATGAATTATTGCTACATAACCAACCTAAGTGATTTATATGGGTTGTGGGGACCAAAAATTATATTAGAAATAAATGTGAATTGAAGTCTTGAGTTTAACTATATGTATAATAGCCATTAATCACCATCATAAGTATTTTATTTTCTTATTTATCTTCTGAATACTAAAAATGATTTAAGGCTCATCTCCCACATCTTCTAATATATAAATTAGTACAAATGCTCTGCAATTGATTATTTAGAGACTGGCATATAAATTTACCAGGATTACTAGAAATTGGCTATGTTCATTAATGAAAAACTGTTCCACCTCTGACTGTGCTGCACTTTATATTTCACCAGAAATTTTAGCAAACTTTCACCCTGATATAATTAACTTGTCATGACCCTGTTTACCATCTTTCACATTTTCTACTTTATTCCAGATGCTGCTCCTATGTAGGCCGGCGTGGAAACGGGCCTCAGGCAATCTCTATTGGCAAGAACTGTGATAAGTTTGGAATCGTTGTTCATGAACTGGGTCACGTGATAGGCTTCTGGCATGAGCACACGCGGCCAGACAGAGATAACCATGTGACTATCATACGGGAAAACATCCAGCCAGGTGAGGGGCTGTAGCGGGCGTCGGGTTTGAGGTTGACTAAACGTCTTTTAACAGGATTGTGCTGTTTACAGTGTAATTTCTTACAAAAATGTGAACTGGTTCTGTTGATATTGTGGCTCAACGTTTTCCTTGATTAAAAAATACCTATTATGGTGTTGATTTGTGCTGCAAATCAAATGATCTTATGCAATTTTTAGATTTGCTTTTTTTTCTTAAGATTTATCTGTTTTATATCTCTGATTCTTTCAAAAAAATGGTGAACCATAAATTAATATTGTTAAATTTTCAAAAAGCATTTTCTATCCTTAGTTTTATAATTTATGTTGTTGGGATTTAAAAGGGTCCAGAGTTTGTCATAAAATGTGCTGCTACCATAAAAATCTATATTATACCAGGGATAGTTTCATGAGAAAATTCCAGGGAAGTGAGAAATTTCCAGGATAGCCCAAATATTTTCTTGAGATTTTCTCTTAATCTTGAGTACCCTAAAGACAAATTCTTAAGAATGTTTCAAGTGTCAGTAGTTCAGTAGTTAATATGTATTTAAATTTAATTTCCTCTGACATTTGATGGGTAATGATAACCTAATTTATAGTTTTGTATTTGTTTTGCCTTTCATAAATTCATAAAGATAAGTACATTTCAATTGCCCAAAGAAAAATCCTATTGTTTAGAATTGTTTTATAAGATTGTGTGTATTTCAAGCATTGTTGTTTAGTAGCTAAGTCGTTTCTGACAGGTTTTGCAACTCTATGAACTATATAGCTCACCAGGCTCCTCTGTCGTTGGTATTTCTCAGGCAAGAATATTGGAGTGAGTTTCATTTCCTTTTCCAGGGGATCTTCCTAACCCAGTGATCAAACCTGCATCTCCCGCATTGCAGGCCATGTGTTATTTCCTTATTCATAGCCACTTTTAAGTTATTAATACAAACATTGAATTCCTAAGAATTTCCTGTAATTAACAGCATTGACCTATTTATTTGCTCACAACATATTTGTACCAATTATGTATCAATTGTTTATTGAGGTACTATTAGATATTAGAGATACTTCATGAAAATTATAGAGCTTAGTGTAGATATGTCTATATATATATAAACATTGTAAACAAGTGAGAAAATGAGCACAGCCATATGTTGAGAGTACTATCAGTCCAAGCAAGGTGTGACAAAATTTGCTTTGGTAAGTCGAGAGATGTAACAAAAGAACTGAAATTTAGAAGTAAAGGGTTTCTAAGTGCAGAAAAGAGTGATGGAATATCTAACTGGAAAAAAAAAAGCATCATGATCAAAGCTACAATTACAGATAATTAGATTATTTTCATCTGCTTATAGGGCTGCATGGTAAGTTACAAGTGGGAGATTAGTTGGTAATTACCAAAGGGGATTAGATCATAAGGATTTTCTATAAGACTCAAGGAAATTTATCCTGGCTTTTATCCTAGAGATTTTATCCTCTAGCTACTGGAGAGTAATCAAAGGATTGAAAGCAGAACAAGTTCAGGTTTAAAAGAAATAAAAAGAGATTTCTTTCAGCTTGTAAGCATTATTAACTGAGAATGGGGATATGGGAGTGCGGAGAATGAACCTATTAGAAGCTTAAATAAGTAGTTTATAAGAAGTGACTGAGTCCTCAGTTAGGGTGGTATAGACCAGGAAGATGAGGAAATAACATTTCAAAAATATTTTAAGAGAAGCATTATATGAAGGATGTGAAGGAAGATCTTCAAAGTTTTATTTTTAGGCCACTGGATGAGTGGTGGCACCATCAAATGAAGTAAGCTAAGAAATATGGATAAAACAAAAAGCAACATACTTTTAAGAGGAAAAAGACAAATAATAATTTCATTTAGCATATGTTTGAGTTTCAGAAGCCTTAAGATGATTGAAGTAGAGATATTTAGCAGACAAAGGAAAGGTGAATCTAGACTTTAAGATATATATAGAAAGGAATTTGATACAGGATTTGACTGTTTAGGAAAATGTTGGAGAAAGAAGGAAATAAGATATCAGGTAGAATATGGGGAATACCACTATTTAAGTTGCAGTTTGTAGAAAATCTCTCAAAAGATTAAGTTTGGTCTAAGGGGTAGGAGAAAAATCAATGAGTGTAATGTTACAGGGAAGAGACCACTTCAAGAATAAAAAAGTATTCTGTAGTGTTGAAAGAGAAGTAAATAAAATCTATACTCTCAACATGGAAGATTCTTTAACTCCTGAGCAGCTATCAAGGTTCATCTAATACTTTTTTATCACTGGGAGACAAAGAGGAAATAGTATTTCTGATGATTACTCCAACTACCAATTAAATGAGAAAAAGTTTTCTATTAACTACAGTTATTAAGTTTCCTCTATTATGTTGACAAAATAACTTATAAAGGAAGTAACTTCCAAGAATGGCTCTTATTCTTAAAATTAGGACTCTGGTTCAACAAAAATTTACATACCTACAAGAAGCAAGAAATGTATAAAAAGCATGTAAATACATAATACTTAACATAGTGCTAAACTAATTATGGCTTTTCTTTTTTGTTGTTATTGAGTCAATATTCAGGTTAATAGAAAGAAATAATTTATTTAGTGAGATGTTCTGAGTATTTGGAACTCTATGCACACTTTGACACCCCTTTTGGGATTCAACAATATTCTCAACATATGACTATTCTCACTTTTCTCATTCACTTGCAATAATTTGTATGTATGAACTGTTGGCCCTTGTATTTGTAGGGTTTTGCATCCATAGATTTAACCAACCTTTGAATCTAAATTTCTTATTCATTGTACTAAACCATTTTATATAAAGGACAAATTTTGATATTCAAGAAGTTCCTAGAAACAATCTTATGGAGATACTGAAGGCTGATTGTAATTCTAACATGAAAGAATTCATGTTGGAGAATGATCTTCAACAGATCTGTGACTTACTCAGAAACTTAAGATCAAGTGTTATTCTAGGGCAATGTCTAATAAGTGTCAACTTTAGCTTTGCATTTATAAGCAAAATAGTGACTATGTATGATAGGAGCCAGTTTTGTACAAGGATTGGATTACTTTTAGATTAGTTTTAAGCCATTTTAGAACAGGCCTTCAAGAATGAGGCTTTTCATTTTTAAAAAATATTGTTTCGCATGAGTTCTGCTGGTACTCTGTATCTCTGATTTTCTTTTCCCTTCTTTCTTGAAATAAGTCTAATTTTGTTTACAGAGTCCATATATGGCTGTGTTCTTTTTAACCACTATGTCACATACATGCTAAATGCTCAATTATATGCTTCAGAAGGTATTACTAAAGTTGTTTCATGTTCCACTTTCAGAAATTTTTATGAAACATTTTGCTTTACTCAAGGAGTATATTCACATATTGTGCTTGGAAGTTGAAATATCCAGTAGATTACAGATTAATATTAATAAAATCAGCTCCATAGCTTTATAAACATCACACTTAGAATTGAATATATGACCCAGCAATCCCACTTCTGGGCATACACACCGGGGAAACCAGATCTGAAAGAGACACATGCATCCCAATGTTCATCGCAGCACTGTTTATAATAGCCAGGACATGGAAGCAACCTAGATGCCCATCAGCAGACCAATGGATGAGGAAGCTGTGGTACATATACACCATGGAATATTACTCAGCCATTAAAAAGAATTCATTTGAATCAGTTCTAATGAGATGGATGAAACTGGAGCCCATTATACAGAGCAAAGTAAGCCAGGAAGATAAAGACCATTACAGTATACTAACACATATATATGGAATTTAGAAAGATGGTAACGATAACCCCATATGCAAAACAGAAAAAGAGACTCAGATGTATAGAACAGACTTGTGGACTCTGTGGGAGAAGGCTAGGGTGGGATGTTTCAAGAGAACAGCATCGAAACATGTATATAATCTAGGGTGAAACAGATCAGCAGCCCAGGTTGGATGCATGAGACAAGTGCTCGGGCCTGGTGCACTGGGAAGACCCAGAGGGATCGGGTGGAGAGGGAAATGGGAGGGGGGACCAGGATGGGGAATACATGTAAATCCATGGCTAATTCATTTCAATGTATGACAAAAACCACTGCAATGATGTAAAGTAATTAGCCTCCAACTAATAAAAATAAATGGAAAAAAAAAATTAAAAAAATTAAAAAAAAAGAATTGAATATACTAAAATGTACTTCCCATTTTCTAATGAAGGGTAGAGTTATAGCACATGCTTCTATCAGAGGTAAAGACAATGTGAAGTATTTCCTGAGAAAAGTAATAATAGCCACAGAGATTTGTTGAACATGTATCTCATTATTTGGTCTGTTAGTTCACTGAAAACTATTTAATGTGTAAAGTCATTGTAAAAGTGAACTAAAACACTTTTGGAGAAGGAAATGGAAACCCATTCCAGTATTCTTGCCTGAAGAATCCCATGGACAGAGGAGCCTGGCAGACCATGGTCCATAGGGTCGGAGAGAGTTGGACATGACTGAAGTGACTAAGCACAAAGGACTTTACTCTGGGCTACAGATTCTACAACTTAAGGCTGATTGTTTCTTATTAATGCTTAAGTGATTCTGGGGGGCTCCAAAATCACTGCAGATGGTGACTGCAGCCATGAAATGAAAAGATGCTTGCTCCTTGAAAGAAAAGCTGTGACCAACCTCTAGACAGCACATTAAAAAGCAGAGACATTACTTTGCCAACAAAGGTCCATCTAGTCAAAGCTATGTTTTTTCCAGTAGTCATGTATGGATGTGAGAGTTGGACTATAAAGAAAGCTGGGCACTAAATAACTGATTCTTTTGAACTGTGGTGTTGCAGAAGACTCTTGAGAGTCCCTTGGACTGAAAGGAGATCAAACCAATCAATCCTAAAGGAAATCAGTCCTGAATATTCCTTGGAAAGACTGATGCTTAAGCTGAAACTCCAATATTTTGGCCACCTGATGCAAAGAACTGATGCACTGGAAAGACCCTGATGCTGGGAAAGATTGAAGGTGGGAGGAGAAAGGGATGACAGAAGATAGGATGGTTGAATGGCACCACCAATTCAAGGGACATGAGTTTGAGTGTGCTCTAGGAGTTTGTGATGGACAGGGAAGACTGGTGTGCTGCAGTCCATGGGGTCACAGAGAGTTGGACAGGACTGAGCGACTGAACTGAACTGGACTGAGTATGTCAGTCTTCTTATCACTGTATCATGCTCTGTATCACATGTATCACGGTATCATGCTCTGTACATCACTCAGTTTCTTTATAAGATTTTGGGAAACATTTTAATGTGATATTTTCAGATTTAGTAATAATATAGCAATTGGAATAAAATTTCAATAGTTGCATAAACATTGTAATAGTTCTGTTTTGAACTTCAACCTTGAATTTGGAATCCTAATACCTCAACTTTACATTTAGATGTTTCAGAATGAGCCATGAAAACAGCCTTCTTTGGCTACTGAAATTGTGAAAAATGAATCAGTGAAACCTAAACTCTATCTGAGGAAACATTTCTGGAACCACTAATGTAGATCTACACATTTAACACTGTGTTTTTTTCAGATTTCAAGAAATAATATTACAATACAGAAACAAAGAAGCAGTTGAGAAATCTATTAATGTGACGATGTCCATAAGTTAAAATGGCAGTCATGAAAAGTAAAAAAAGAAAAATTAAATCCCAAAGCATATTCTTCTAAAAAACCTTCTGATTAGAGCCTCCTTTTCATCAAAGAGAATCTTGCTTCAATTTGAATGTAACGTTTGGTTGTTTCATCTTTAGTGACAAATTCACATAGCAAACACTTGAAATGTGTGTCTATACAACATATAATATTTCCCATTGTTTTGTAGAAATCATCTAATACAAATAGGAAGATTTATTTGTCTAGGCCAATAGAGTCATAAGAGAGAGGTGGGAAACTCATTTGGTAAAAAGTGTAGTTTTTATAATCACAATATAGCACAGAAAAAAAGTCATTAAAAAAAGAAGTATGAAGAGAAAGTGAAAGAGTATACAAAGAAAAATCCAAAGTATGCTTTTGGTAATCTAACTTTTTGCCAAAATTAGCTTATTCAGTTCAGTTCAGTCGCTCAGTCATGTCCAACTCTTTGCAACCCCATGAATCGCAGCACGCCAGGCCTCCCTGTCCATCACCAACTCCCGGAGCTTACCAAACTCAGGCCCATCGAGTTGGTGATGCCATCCAGCCATCTCATCATCTGTTGTCCCCTTCTCCTCCTGCCCCCTATCCCTCCCAGCATCAGGGTATTTTCCAATGAGTCAGTTCTTCCCATCAGGTGGCCAAAATATTGGAGTTTCAGCTTCAGCATCAGTCCTTCCAATGAACACCCAGGACTGATCTCCTTTAGGATGGACTGGTTGGATCTCCTTGCAGTCCAAGGGACTCTCAAGACTCTTCTCCGACACCACAGTTCAAAAGCATCAATTTTTTGGCACTCGGCTTTCTTCACAGTCCAACTCTCACATCCATACATGACTACTGGAAAAACCATAGCCTTGACTAGACAGACCTTTGTTGGCAAAGTAATGTCTCTGCTTTTTAATATTCTGTCTAGGTTGGTCACAGCTTTTCTTCCAAGGAGTAAGCGTCTTTTAATTTCATGGCTGCAGTCACCATCTGCAGTGATTTTGAGCCCAGAAAAAATAGTCTCTCACTGTTTCCACTGTTTCCCCATCTATTTGCCATGAAGTGATGGGACCAGATGCCATGATCTTAGTTTTTGGAATGTTGAGTTTTAAGCCAACTTTTTTTTTTTTTTAAACACTCCTCCTCACTTTCTTTAAGAAGGTTCTTTAGTTCTTCTCTTTCTGCCATAAGGGTGGTGTCATCTGCGTATCTGAGGTTATTGATATTTTTTCCTGGCAGTCTTGATTCCAGCTTGTGCTTATCTAGCCTGGCATTTCACATGATGTACTCTGCATATAAGTTATATAAGCAGGGTGACAACTTACACCTAGAGGTACTCCTTTCTCAACTTGGAACCAGTCTGTTGTTCCACATCCAGTTCTAGCTGGTGCTGCTTGACCTGCATACAGATTTCTCAGGAAGCAAGTAAGGTGGTCTGGTATTCCCATCTCTTGAAGAATTTTCCAGAATTTGTTGTGATCCACACAATCAAAGGCTTTGGCATAGTCAAAACATGGTCCACTAGAGAAGGGAATGGCAAACCACTTCAGTATTCTTGCCTTGAGAACTGCATGAACAGTGTAAAAGTTAACTTATTAATGAAATTCACTAATATTCTTTTAGGATGATATTAAGTGCACATAGTGGCACTGGATGTAATCTTTTGCATGTACTTGGGTGTTTGTGTGTAAATACAGCATCATGAAGATCAGTGATCAGCTTTCGGTAGAGAGGAGTTAGAGGACTGGAAGGGTTCTTCTGTTCTCTTTTTTGTCTATTAAGAGGTTTCTGAAACGTTTTCTGTGCCTGATTCTTAGGTCAAGAGTACAATTTTCTGAAGATGGAGCCTGGGGAAGTGAACTCGCTTGGAGAAAGCTATGATTTTGACAGCATCATGCATTATGCTAGGAACACCTTCTCAAGGTTGGAGTCTCAGGTTATACCTCTTGACTTTTAATTCCTTTCCTCTGTATGGCTCCTCACAAAATAGGTTTAGCATTAGAACTAGAACCACTTTTAAATATTGCTGCTATAGAGTACAAAAAAATACTTGCTTGGTATTTATAGCCAACACCAGGCATTTGAGATTTTAAAAACACATTTCTTATCAAAAATATATTCAATGTAAAAATTTAAATGGTATGAATTATTTAAATTATTTAATATTACTAATCATACAAAAGTTCAATTGAAATGATTACCAAACCAATCAGCATGTTAAATTGGCAAGCACTATTAGTAGAAATTTAGCATTTCAAGTCAAATACAGAGCTCAGTTGTTTAGTTGGAATGTTATACTTTTTCTGTGACTTGTATTTTTATTGTATATTTTCTACTGCTCAAGTATTAATTATACTTGAAAATAGCTATAGTAAAATAATTCTCAGAAAACATTTTAGAAAGATATTTTGCTTCATATAATTTAGAATTCTGCCATTTACTAACCTTAGAATTATTTTGTTAGTGACTGAATGCTAATTTTAAGAGTGTAATAAATTTGAGTTTTGATCTATTTGACTCTAAAGAAGTTATCATCATGGCAATAGTTTCCAGGTAAGTAATATGTAACTGTTTAAGTCATCTCTTTTCCACATTTTATACCCATTTTACACTCATATGTCCATTCCACTCATTCTTTTTTTATCATTATGTGCATTTCACAACTCATTAATGTTTATGTTTAAAGGCAATGTTTCAGTCTGAAACACACATTTCCCCTTATTCTGCACTGCTTTTTTGTCTTTAAATGGTTGCTTTTCCATAAACCACAAGGTTCATGCAGTTTGTCACCCCTACACCTACCTTGGTGTTGCATGACAACTAACTTTGACATTAGTTTTCTTATTGTTTCAAAATTTGGGTATTCACTTTTCCTAAATAAACTTATATTCCTATAGTGAAAGAAACTGTATATATCTGTGAGAAGAATTGATCCAATTCACATTGTGGTTTTTTTTTTTTTTCTGGTTTTAAAGAAGATGGTTATTAACTCATACATATATTGAAATAAAAATTGCAGGAGAAGAAATATTTGGCACAGTTCTCAGCCACCACCTTCAAAGTATTTGAAAGTTTTTTTTATTATAATAAAGAAATCTCAATATCAATGGCAACCCATTCCAGTATTCTTGCGTGGAGAATCCCATGGACAAAGGAGCCTGGTGAGCTACAGTCCATGGGGTCTCAAAAAGTCAGACACAACTGAGAGACTGAATTGAACTGATGTATATATATGTTGGAAATATTTTATCTCCTTTTCACTCTTTTGACACACACAATAACAAATGTACCATATTTTCTATTTTTAAATGTACAATTTAATAGTATTAAGTACATTCACATTGTTGTGAAACAGATCTCCAGAAACTTTTCATATTGTAAAGCTGAAACCCTATATACATTCATTAAACTCTCCACTCTCCCCACCCCCACCCCAACCTCTGATAACCACTTTTCTACTTTCTTTTTCTATGAATTTGGCTAGCTTAGGTACCAAGTAAAATCACACAATATTTATCATTCTGTGACTGTTGTTTTTTTTCCACCTAGCATAAAATCCTTAAGGTTCATCTATGTTGTAGCATGCAGCAAAATTTCCTTTCATTTTAAGGCTGAATAATACTCCACTAGATATATATTGACACTTTGTTTATTCATTCATTTGTTGATGGATATCTGAGTGCTTTCACCTCTTGGCTACTGTAAATAGTGCTACCATGAACATGTGTGTGTGAATATCTCTTCAAGAGCCTGTTTTCCTTTCTTTTGGATATATACAAAAAAGTGAGATTGCTGGAATGTATGGTAGTTCTATGATTTTTTTTTTTTAAGAACCTCAATCAATTTTTTCATAGATGCTGTGCTATTTTGCAATCCTATCAACAGTGTATAAGGGTTCCAATCTCTCCATATCCTCACCAACATCTTTTCTTTTCTATTTTCTCAAGTTTTGATAGTAGCCACCCTAATGGGTATGACATAATGTCTCATTGTGTTTTGATTTGCATGATTAGTCATGTTGAGAATATTTTTATATGCTTGACCATTCATCTTTGAAAAATATATATTCAAATCTTCTGCCTATTTTTAAATCAGATTACTTCATTTTTCTGTTGTTAAGTTGTAGGATTTCTTTGTGTATTCTGGTCTCTTATCAGATATATATGTATGTATACATATGTGTATATAGAGATGGTTGGATGGCATCACTGACTTAATGGACATGAGTTTGAGTAAGCTCCAGGAATTGGTGATGGACAGGGAAGCCTGGTGTGCTGCAGTCCATGCGATTGCAAAGAGTCAGACACAACTGAGAGACTGAACTGAACTGATGTATATATATGTTGGAAATATTTTATCTCCTTTTCACTCTTTTGATTATTTGCTTTGCTGAGCACAAGCCTTTTAATGAAAAATGCAATCCCACTTACCTATTTTTGCTTTTGTTTCCTATGCTTTGGGTATCATATCCAAGAAATCATTGCTATATTCACATTGCAACAAAAAGGATAAAATATCTAGGACTAAACCTACCTAAAGAGACAAAAGACCTGTATGCAGAAAACTATAAGACACTAATGAAAGAAATCAAAGATGACACAAACTGGTGGAGAGATATACCATGTTCTTGGATTGAATCAATATTGTGAAAATGACTATACTACCCAAAGCAATCTACAGATTCAATGCAATCCTTATCAAACTACCTTTAGTATATTACACAGAACTAGAACAAAAAATTTCACGATTTGTATGGAAACACAAAAGACCCCACATAGCCAGATCAATCTTGAAGGAAGAAAAATGGAATCAACCTTCCCAACTTCAGAATATACTACAAAGCTATAGTCACCAAGAGAATATGTTACTGGCACAGAAACAGAAATATAGAACAATGGAACAAGATAGAAAGCCCAGAGACAAACCCACATAGCTATAGGCACCTTATCTTTGACAAAGGAGGCAAGAATATATGATGGAGAAAAGATAGTCTCTTCAATACATGGTGCTGGGAAAACTAGACAACTACATGTAAAGGAATCAAATTAGAACATTTCCTAACAAATATAAAGTCAAAATGGATTAAAGATCTAAATATAAGACCAAAGTCTATAAAACTCTTAGAGGAAGACATAAGCAGAACACACTTTAACATAAATCATAGCAATATCCTCTCTGACCCACCTCCTAGAATAATGGAAGTAAAAACAAAAATAAACAAATGAGACCTAATTAAGATAAATGCTTTTCCACAACGAAGGTACTGTAAATAAGGTGAAAAGACAATCCTCAACTGGAGAAAATAATAGCAAATGAAACAACTGACAAATGATTAGTCTCTAAAATATGCAACCTATTCATGAAGCTCAAAACCAGAAAAACAAACCAATCAAAAAGTAGACATTTCTCCAAAGAAGACATACAGATGGCTAATAAACACATGAAAAGATGATGCTCAACATCCCTCATTATTAGAGAAATGCAAATCAGAACTACAATAAAGTATCATCTCATACTGGTCAGAATAACCATCATCAAAAAACCCTACAAACAATAAATGTTAGAGACGGTGTGGAGAAAAGGGAACTCTCTTGCACTGTTAATGGGAATGTAAATTGATGCAGCCACTATGGAGAACCGTATGGAGATTCCTTAAAAAAAACTAGGAATAAGTCCACCATATGACCTAACAATCCCAGTACTGGACACATACTGAAAAAAATACTGGAAAAAGACACATGAATCCCAGTGTTTTTCACAGCACTATTTACAATAGCTATCATATGGCTGCAACCTAGATATCCATCTACAGATGAATGGATAAAGAAATTGTGGTACAATGGAATATTACTCAGCTATAAAACTAATGCATTTGATGAGAGGGAGCTTCATTATAGAGCCTATTATAATAATAGAGCTTATTATACAAAACGAAGTAAGTTAGAAACAGAAAGATAAATATCATATACTAAAGCATATATATGTAGTCTAGAAACAATGATACTGATGAACCTATTTTCAGCACAGCAAGTGAGATGCAGACATAAAGAACAGATTGTAGACACTGAGGGAAGGAGAGGGTGGGAAAATTGAGAAAGTAGAATTGAAATATATATATTACCATATGTAAAATAGTGGAAATTTGCTGTATGACATGCGGAACTCAAATCTAATTCTCTGTGACAACCTAGAGGGGTCTGGTGGGGTGGGAAGTGGGAAGGAGATTCAAGAATGAAGGCACATATGTACACCTATGGCTAAGTCATGCTGATATATGGCAGAAACCAATACAGTATCATAAAGTAATTATTCTCCAATTAAAAATAAATTTAAAAAATGAATTTTAGATTTTGAAAAATATATATACTTTTTCTAAGGAAAAATTGAATGCCACCACTTGCTTATACTCACCATATACATTTTTTAATTAATTTATTTTAATGGGAAGCTAATTACAATATTGTGGTGGATTTTGCCATACATTGACATGAATCAGCCACAGGTGCACGTGTGTCCCCCATCGTGAACACCCCTCCCACCTCCCTCCCCATACCATCCCTCTGGGTTCCCAGTGCACCGATTTATACAGAATGAAGTAAGTCAGAAAGAAAAACACCAACACAGTATATTAATGCATATATATGGAATTTAGAAAGATGGTAATGACGACCCAACATGCAAGACATCAAAAAAGACACAGATGTAAAGAACAGACTTTTGGATTCTGTGGGAAAAGGTGAGGGAGGGATAATTTGAGAGAATAGCACCGAAACATGCATATTACCATGTGTGAAATAGATTACCAGTCTAAGTTCACCATACACATTTAACACACAATTTTTTCCTACTTTGATGAAAGCATTTTGAGAGACTGACACACGGTTTAAATCTGAACATGATATATTTCTCCTTTGATTGGTTTGAGTTTGAAAAAAAAACATATTTGTAAGGAATATATGTGTTTTAATTTGACGACTTATGTGTGACTTGTTTCTGATTTTTTTTTAGGGGGATGTTTCTGGATACCATTCTCCCCTCACGTGATGATAATGGCATTCGTCCAGCAATTGGTCAGCGAACCCGCTTAAGCAAAGGAGATATTGCGCAGGCAAGAAAGCTGTATAGATGTCCAGGTACTGCACCACCCAAACTCAGAAGCATAATTGAGTCTGATAGTGTTTTCCAGATGAACGAGCTACAATTAACAGCTGTTTACTTGTCTCTTTTCATGCTGGCGAGTAACTGAGATGTTCAGTTCAAAGTTACTAATCATAAAATGAAATAGAAGAGAAATCTGGAATACCCATTGGTATAATTCAAAACAAATTGCTAGAAATCAAATTTCAAAAGCAGGGATAGTATGCTATATTTCTTTTAATTTAATGAATAAAAAAGAAGAAAAATATAGTTGTTACTAAATAGTTGCATGAGTTCATAGTCAAATTATGAGCTTCCTTGCCAACATAACAAGAATATCCTTAATTTCAACTTCAAAATTCCATCCTAAATGATCTTTTCTAGCAAGTACTATCATTAACAGTATATAAATTTAAATTTTATTAGGTGGAATTTATAACTTCGTTGCAAAAAACAAAGTTCTAATCATGTTACTAGTGAGCTACTAGTTTGTTTTTATGTTTGTTAATATGTTTGCTAGTTTGTTAATATGTTTGCTATTAGATACGTTTGTGAAAAAAGATTAAAGAGAGGTCTTAATAACAATGTTCCAAGGGAACACTAATGCCTTACTGGTCTAAGAAAGAAAAGATAAAGCAATAATACTCCAATTTAAAAAAAAGAAAAAGATTCTGCTTTCAAATTGGAACTTCTTCATATCCTATGTACCTCCTATATATGCAACATGCTTTGAAATAGCCTGTATCAAAGATACATGCTTAATTTTGCTTAACACAGCATTTTCAATTTTTTTGTTGTTATTTATAGGAAACTAATACCTGTGAAGTTCAGTTTTTGTTCCAGACACTGATATCATAAATAGTAAAATAGTGCTAAAAGCGTTAGTTGGCTGCTCTTCCAGTAACTTATACAGACATTCAGGATAGGATGGGTAAATTAATCATTGAAGTTTTACATAGATTCCCATGTTTAAATTTTATTTACATATATTTAGTTATTGAGAAGTTATATTAACTAAGTTTACTGTGATTATTGGTACCAGACTAGAAAAGTTTCTGATTGGGTAGCTGATTCATTCACAAAATGTCATATTTGCTCATTGACATATGGAAATGTCCACGTGGGGCAGAGAATGGTCTTCATCTTCCCTTTATCCCAGTAGTCAGCAGTCTGCTGGTGAAAGAGATACTCACTGAGATGTGTGAGTGGTGGTGTGTCTTTATAAATAACTCATTTGTTCTCTTGCTCTCTCTTTTTTGGGGGGCCTTTTTTTCCCTTGTGACTCCCATTTTCTAAATAGATTCTCCACTTATTTGATCTAACTTTAAGATTACTTCCCCTTTTTATTTCTAAACTCCTGATACTGAGCTCTTCTAATATAGTTTCTGGTCTTTATTTGCATTTTCTCTTAATATAGTTTTTCTATAGTCCCATAACCTTTTGGCTTATACTTCATACCTATACCAACTGTCAACCCTAATATTCTCTTAGTAAATCTTCATTAATTAAATGTAAAGTAGCATAATGAAATTAACAAAAAATAAATATCTAAAAATAAAGAGGCTTTTGAAGATTAGAATCATTGTTATATAAAAGTGTATGTGTAGTCACTCATAGATGTAGTCAAAATAGATGTTTACAAATTTAAAAGTGGTGTTAAACATACAGTGTATATATACAGATATCTACATCTATTGGATGTACATCTGTGTAGAGGTTGTAGGGATAGAAGACCAGTTTCATTGTACAGGAAATTTAAATAGTGGCAATTTTTTAAATGCTTGAACATTAAATTTATTTTTTAAATTAATATGAGTTTCTTTTTAGTTACAGAAAATCTGTAATTCCTGATATAATTCTCTGAAATTTCAAAGAGAATATCACTTATATGTGTTTATATACAATTCTTGGCTCAAATATGTTTCCAACATGCAAAAAAAAAATTAGTCACTTTCTCATTTATTCACAGACCCATTTGTTCATAAAACATTTCTTAGTTCAGTTGATGGTACTAGACACAGATCATTCCAAGTCAAAACTGTGGAGGGCATTCTCTCTTCATTCCTTTTTCTGCCACACTTCCCACAACTAATCAATCCTGCTGCCTTCTTGGCATCTATCTCACATTCTTGAAGTGAATCCCCTATCCTAGGGATCCTCACCTTTTTTCTGGGTTACTACAGTGCTTCCTAATTAACCTATTCCCTCTATTCTTACATCTCTTTAGTTCTCTGGCCATACCGCCGTTCAAGTGGCACTTCAATATGCAGATCCTACTCTGCTTATTTTAGCGTAAAGACTGGTTTCCTTTCCCCTGTCTCTTCCCCAGCCTCTTTGCTAGGTGTTTCACTTACAGCCTAGTTTCTCCCTTCTACTTCATCCAGCACCTGGCACTAAGTGTGCTCACCTCCTGCTTCTTCCTCAATCCAGAAAACTCCTACTGACTCCTAGCCAAGTCCTAATTAATATTCAGGATTTAGCTTCTGTGTAACCTCCTACTTAAAAACTAACTGATCTCCCAGGGTTCCCATGGTAGTAAATGCCCTATTTGCTCTGGCCTTCATGTCTTATTCCTAAAACCATCAATTCACTTGTCATTTCACAATTAGAGTATAATCTTTAGGACTGGAAGTAGACTTTTCCCTCAGGGTATTTTGTTGTTGTTTAGTCACTATGTGTCCAAATGTGTCACTATGTGTCCATTGTGACCCAATGAACTGCAGTTACCAGGCTTCCCCATCCTTCACTATCTCCTGGAGTTTGCTCAAACTTATGTCCATTGAGTCGGTGATGCTATTCAACCATCTCAGTCCCCTGCTGTCCCCTTCTCCTCCCGTCCTCAATCTTTCCAGCATAAGAGTCTTTTCCAATGAGATGGCTTTTCACATTACGTGACCAAAATAATGGAGCTCCAGCTTCAGCATCAGTCTTTCTAGTGAATATTCAGGATTGACTTCCTTTAGGATGGACTGGTTTGATCTCTTTGCAGTCCAAGGGACTCTCAAGAGTCTTCTCCAGTACCATGATTCAAAAGCATCAATTCTTCAACTCTCGGCCTTCTTTCTGGCCAAACTCTCACATTTATTCAAGACTACTGAAAAAGCATAGCTTTGACTGTATGGACCTTTGTCAACAAAATGATATCTCTGGTTTTAATATGCTGTCTAGGTTTGTCATAGCTTTCCTTTCAAGGAGCAAGAATCTTTTAATTTCATGGCTTCAGTCACTTAGCAGTGATTTTTGGAACCCAAGAAAATAAAATATGTCACTGCTTTCCCATTTTCCCCTTCTATTTGCCATGAAGTGATGGGACCAGATGCCATGAAAGTGAAAGGGAAAGTCACTCAGTCATGTCCAACTCTTTGGGACCCCCATGTACATTCCATGGAATTCTTCAGCCAGAATACTGGAGTGGATACCCTTTCCCTTCCCCAGGGTGTTTTTCCAACCCAGGGATCAAACCCAGGTCTCCCGCATTGCTGGTGGATTCTTTACCAGCTGAGCCACAAGGGAAGCCCAAGAATACTGGAGTGGGTAGCCTATCCCTTCTCCACGGGTTCTTCCTGACCCAGGAATTGAACAGGGTCAATCTACTGCATTGCAGGCAGATTCTTTATCAGCTGAGCTATCAGGGAAGCCCCAGGGGCTTCCTGAAGTTGCTACGATCTTAGTTTTTTGAATGTTAAGTTTCAAGCCAGGTTTTTCACTCTCTTCTTTCTTTCACCCTAATCAAGAGGCTTTTTAGTTCCTCTTCACTTCTTGCCTTTAGAGTGGTATCATCTACATATCATCTAAATATTAGGTGCTCATAAGTGGTTGCTGTATGAATGAAATAGTTGCTTTAATATGTGAAAGGTACTACACCAGATATTATGGCCGCAGAGAAGGAAGCACAGATTATGCACACAAACAGCCAATCATCTGTGCAATTCTCCAGACAATGTTACTTGTCAAGGAAGTAAATCTCATCAGTAAAGGATGCTAAAGCAGTTCTGAGAGGGGGGCCTGAACTGAGCTGCACCATGGAATGAGGAAGACTTCTTGGAACTGGTGTCGGACTTGACAAGGGAGTTACTGTTGAAATATATTTTAAAATATTTCAGTAATTAATTTCACCATTATGACTCAGATGACAGGATTTCTTTTAACATTTCTTACCTTAAAATCATTTTAAATCTATATTTTATTACATTTAAAAGTTTGAGAGAGCAATGGATGTATGAAGTTGATTAGGTAGTGCTAAGTTGTTTAGATATAGTTTTATTTCTTCCCATACTCTAGAGTTTATCAAGATTTTGAGGGAAGAGATTTATCTACTACAAGTTATTGTACTTTTTTCGAGTTAGTAACATTATAAAGATATTCTTTAAGACTATGGAAAAGTTATTCTCAATCTTTGATATCTGTTGGATATTATAGACATTTGCCACAAAAAATATCTGTAGATGAGAATACAAACAACTGTAAATCAATAATAATTTCTCTGCCACACACAATCCAGGAAGCATTTATACAATTCAAAAACAATTTTCTATCTTGGAAGATAAAGCATACATGAGAACCATCTGTTGCAAAAGTGAGATGGATCATAAAATATTTAGAAGTTTACTCTTATTATTAATTATTTTTAAATTTTGATGAAATACATATAACATATGTCCTATTAAAAATTTTTATTGTACAGTACAGTGCTGTCAATTATATACACATTGGTATACAGCAGATCTCTCTAGAAATCTCATGTGATATTTGTCTTTTTGCTTATGCCTAGCCTATTTCACTAGAATTATGTCCTCAAGGTTCATCCCTGTTGTAGCACATGACAAATTTCTTTCTGTTTGAAGTTTGAATAATATTCCATTGTATGCATATACCACGTTTTATTTATTCATTCATCCAATGATAAGACAATTTGTTTCTATGACTGCTCTCAGTAATACTCAATGAATATGTGAGTGTGCATATTTCTTCAAGACTTTCTTCTCAATTGTTTTGCATCAATACCCAGAAGCAGAGTTGCTGTATTCATTCAGAGTAGCTCTATTCATTATTTCTGAGGAAACTCCACATTGTTTTCCATGGTGGCTGCACCATTTTGCATTCCTAACAGCAGTGTAAAGTGGTTCTCTATATCCTCACCAATACTTGCTATTTCTGTTTCTTTGATAATGGCCAACCAGCCATTGTGAGGTGATATCTCATTGTGGTTTTGATTTTCCTTTCTCTGATGATTAGTGACATTGAGCACTTTTTCATGTATCTATTGGCCATTTGTAGGTCTTCTGTGGAGAAATGTCTATTCAGGTCCTTTGCCCATTTTAAAGTTTGGTGACTTGGGGTTTGTTTTGTTGTTTGTTCGCTAAGTTCCTTCTGTGTTTTGGATATAACCCCTTATGAGATAGATGCATGATTTGCAAATGTTCCATTCCAAAGATTTGTTTTCCTTTTATTGATTCTTTCCTTTGCTACACAGAAGTTGTTTAACTTGCTGTTGTTCCCCTTGTCTATTTTTACTCTTATTACCTGTGCTTTTGGTTTCATATCTAAGCAAGCATTGCCAAGACCTCTGTTATGATGTTTTTCCCCTATGTTTTTCTTCTGGGAATTTTATAAATTGGGGTCTTACTTTTAGGTCTTTAATCCACTTTGAGTTGATTTTTGAGGATAGTGAAAAAACAGGTTCAATTTTATTCTCTTGTATGTGTGTATCTAGTTTCCCTAACACTATTTATGGAAGCGCCTATCTTTTCATCATTGAAAAGTCTTAGCACCCTTATCAAAGATCCCATTTTACTGTTTAGGTGTGGGTTTATTTTTGGCTCTTTATTCTGTCCCATTGGTCTATATGCCTCTCTTATGCTAGTATCATACTTTTAATTACTGTAGATATGTAGTATGTTTTGAGGTTAAGAAGAATGAGGCTTCCAGCTCTATTTTTTTTTCCCCCCTTCAGGATTGTTTTGGCTATTTAGGATTTGTGATTCTATATGAATTTTAAGACTTTTCCTCCCATTACTACAAAAATATGCCACTGGGAATTTGATAGTGATTGCACTGAATTTTAGAAATTTATCCATGCTTTGACTAGGATGGATAATATTTTAACAGTATTAAGTTTTCCAATCCATGAACACATCTTTGTGTCCTTTGTTTCTTTTATCAATGTTTTGTAGTCTTCAATGTTCATGTCTTTTGCCTCAAGTTTATTTTGCCTCTTTCATTCCTAAATATTTTATTACTGGGGGGGTTTCTTATAAACAGAATTATTTTCTTAATTTCATTTTCATATTATTCATTGGTAGTTAATGGATATGCAACTGAACTTTGTGTGTTGATTCTGTATTCTACAATTTTGTATTTTTTTTATTACTTCTAACAGTATTTTTTTTTGTCTGTGGAATCTTTATGGTTTTGTACATATAAGATCATGTCATCTGCCTAGAGAGATGAAAATTCAATTTGTGAATTGTTTTACTTTAGAATGATTTTTATTAGGAGACTGATGATAATTTTTCTTTGTATATTTATGCTTTTTTTTCTCTTAGATAAGACTGGGGTTTTTTTAGTTCAAAGATACATTGTAAAAGTTAAGCCCACAGTTTTCCCACCTGTGTCAGAGGTATCTTAAGTGCTAAATAGAGGGCTTTGGGCATAACAATACTTGACCCCTACAAAACAACTTTATGAAATACATGTTAATAAGAGCCACTTTAAAGAACAGAAAACTGAAGTTGAAGGTTTTGAGACTTGTTTGTATGACATAACAAGGGATTATGCCATGAGTCAAATTTCTCTCTTATCATCCATATACTAAATACATTTCTGTGTAAATGAGGAGACTATGTATTTAAGTTAGTAGTGCCATCATTTCTGTGCTAATTTTCCTTTAGTTGTTTTAGTTATAAAATTAGTTTTTATACCTGGACATGAATCAACAAATGTCCAGGGAAATTTATGAAAATCTTCTGAAATAGGGATCAGGTAGCCTGGGATAGCCACATGTACTGACGGATAGGCACAAATGATTACAACTTGGCAATTGGTGTCCACAGTTCTTGCATTATAAGTAGGTGCTATATAATACATTTATTAGATGTTTGAATTATATATTTTTTTTGCATTTCAGAGAGATTTCTGTTTTATTGTTTTATCAATATAATAATGTTTGTTTACATGTGTGAGTTAATTGTTTTAATTCCACTTGAGGAAATTCAGTACCAGCATTCTATGTAGCTTGGAATTACAGAATTTATTTTTAAACTGCTATAAATTGTAGATTTTTTCATTGAAACACACTCAATTCCCCAATGGCTATTTAGCACCTAAAATGATCATAATTAGAAACACATCAGTTGCATCAATAAATCTTAACAAATTGTCATTTTTCTAAGGGGTCTTTTAATGTCATATTTATTAAGTATCCTTAGATGATTCATGGAAAGTGTTGATTACATATTTTTTACCTTTAGCATTTTTCTTTTATTCTCAAGTTGCTTTTATCTGCCTGTTTATCAGAATAAATATTGCTTGCTTTTTTTAAAAATTTATTTTGTTGTACAAACATTATTTGTTGTTGTTATTCAGCTGCTCAGTCATGTCCGACTCTTTGTGACTACATGAACTGCAGCATACCAGGTTTCCCTTGTCCTAAACCATCTCCTGGAGTTTGCTCAAACTCATGTCCGTTGAGTCTGTGAGGCCATCCAAGAATCTCATCCTCTGTCATCCCCTTCTCCTTCTGCCTTCAATCTTTCCCAGAATCAGGGTCTTCCCCAATGAGTCAGTTCTTTGCATCAGGTGGCCAAACTATTGGAGCTTCAGCTTCAGCATCAGTCCTTCCAATGAGTATTCAGGGTGATTTCCTTTAGGATGGACTGGTTGGATCTCCTTTCTGTCCAAGGGACTCTCAAGAGTCTTTTCCCTTATGACAGTTCAAAGGCATCAGTTCTTAAGTGCTCAGCCTTTTTTATTGTTCCAGCTCTCACATCCGTACATGACTATGGGAAAAACCATAGCTTTGACTATGAGGACCTTTGTAGTTAATGTCTCTGTTTTTTAATACACTGTCTAGGTTTGTCAGTGCTTTTCTTCCAAGGAGCAAGTGTCTTTTAATTTCATGGCTGCATAAATATTTATATCATATCAAACTCTTTTTACATGTCTATTTTATGTTTTCCAAGCTATTATTTTTGTTTCTTCATTTAAATCAAGATATGCAGAACCATTTATAATGTATTGTTTTGATGAGACAAGAGTTCATCCGCTAGAGTTCACCTGCTGGCTCTATAATATGGTAATATATCAGGTTTTATCTCAGTCTTCTTCAGAAGGAAGGAGTTATTCTTTCAAACTGTTTAATGAAAGTTATAAACATCTTTATATAAATATTAATATAAACTAACTGCTGTATAGTGATTGTTCATGAATTAAGGGTACTTAAATCAGCTTAGATTCATTTAACTCAGATCATGTCTTGCAAAAGCAACAAGACAGTCCATTGTAGAATGCTTCTGACTACAAACCTTGGCTGAACCAGTGAGCTAATTATCCTCTGATCTTGCCTTTGTTGAATTGGCCTATAGGTATTAGTCATACAGATCTCGAGGCTGTATAGCTGACTGTTTGCTACATCAGATGACTGGTAATTACTACCAAGAAGTTAGATAGGGGCTGTTGGTTGTTTGGTTGTGTAGTCGCTAAGTTGTGTCCAACTCTTGTGACCCCATGGACTGTAGACTGCCAGGCTCCTCTCCATGGGATTCTCCAGTAGATCGGGGTAGTAAAAGGAAAATAAAATTGCTTTTCCAGAAATTTCTACTTATAATAGGCAGAAAACAGAGAATAAATAAATATCTATATCTCACTGGAAAATCTGAATGCCATAATGTTTTTTTTTCTTTTTTTTTCTCATAATGTTTTATGTTTCAACTTATTCCAGTTTATTTTGGAAAAAAAACTCATTGTGTGTCATTTTGGCACCATTTTTATTGACTATTTATTCATTATTATTTAAATTTTCTTTTTCCCAACTTTGATACAGTATTCATTATTAAAATTAACTTGTTCCATGGAGTCCCAGAATCACATCGAATAGGTACCCACTGGCTTCAAACTGAGTATAGGTGATGCATAAGTTGGCTATTTGCTCCTTAGGAATGAATGAGAAATGTTTCCATGAGGAAAAATTTTATGGTTCTTCAGGTTATTTATCTCATAATCTTGTTATATGTTTAGCTATAGCAATCCTTTTAAGTATACTGAAATTCTAGTAAGAAAGACATTTAAAAAAATTACTTATAAAGGAAAAGTGTTTTATAAAATACAAATATATATCCTTGTCTAACACCAAAAGACTCAAGATTCATTTATGATGCAAGTGTCTTTTATAAAAAAATAACAAATAATTTTATCTTTTTCATTAAAAAAAATCAAACATATGTTGTTTTTTCTTTCTTTCAGCATGTGGAGAAACCCTACAAGAATCCAATGGCAATCTGTCCTCCCCAGGATTTCCAAATGGCTATCCATCTTATACACACTGCATCTGGAGAGTCTCTGTGACCCCAGGAGAGAAGGTAGTTAATCCCATCAAGTGTTCTCTTTTAGTTTTAAATGCAAAGGTTCATCTTCTTTCAAATATATTTTACTTTGTTTTGCATTCTTTTTTGATTAATTGAATAGCTCAGAAAATTTATGATGGGTATTATGCAAGCTCCAGGAATTTTTGGAAAGAGATAATTTTAAAAGAAATAGTAAATGATCTAAAAGGGTTGACATAATACAAATTATGTTCTCAGATACAATGGAATTAAGTTAAAAATCAGTATCAGAAAGATAACTAGAAAAATCCCACACATATTAAAACTGGGAAATATATATCAACTATCCCATTCATTCAAGAAGAAATTGTGATAAAAATTAGAAATTATTTTCAATTATAACAAAAGTACTGAGAATTCCAAGTCTGTAAAATACATCTAAAGCATATTTAGAAGGAAATTCAGAAACTTATATATTCATATTAGGAAATAAAAAATACTCCAAACTAAAGAGATAGATATCCATATAAAGATGCTACAAAAAGGAGCAATAAAATAAATGGAATAATACATAAAGGAAGAAGTAAAAAATAAATTTAAAAACATGAAACTATATGGTACAAAATATGGACAAAGTTGGTACTTTGAAACAATTTAGTAAATAGAGAAATGGATGAGAAGAGATCAAGAAAAAAAGAATAACAGAGAAAGCACAATTATCTAATCATTAGCATAAAACAATTATTATAACCATAGATGCTTTAGACACCAAAAGAACATTTTGAATATTATGCCAATAACTTTGAAAATGTAAATGAAATGGGAAAATTACTACAAAATATTACTTAGTCAGCTCTTATTCAAGAAGAAATTTAAAAATTTGAATGTTTCTATAGCCAATAGAGAAATCAAATTACTGTTTATTTGAATTATTAGTCAAAAAAATTTTTGACAATGAAAACCCAGGCTAGATGGCTTCATGAGTAAGTTCTACCCAGCAACCCAGTAAGAAATAAATATGGTCTTATATAAAGTCTTCCAGAGAATAAAATAAAAATTACACTCTACTGTTTATATGGTTAGAGTTTCCAATGTGGCTCAGTGGTAAAGAATCCACCTGCAATGCAGAAGATATGGTTTTGATTCCTGGGTCAGGAAGATCCCTTGGAGAAGGAAATGGCAACCCACTCCAATATTCTTGCCTAGAAAATCCCTTGGGCAGAGGAGCCTGGAGGGCTACCGTTCATGGGTTTACAAAAAAGTAAGGCATGACTTAGTCACTAAACACCAACAACAGTTTATATAGTTAGCAAAACCTGATAGCCATCCTGATGACAAAAACAGTGTAAGAAAGGAAAATTCTAACCCAGACTCACATTTGAATATGTATGTAAAATCCTCCCCACATTACCAAAACAAATGCAAATATCTATGCATGTATATGTATATACGTATCTATCCATAATCATATAAGTACCATATAAAATATATTACTATTACTATATATCTCAAAAGCAAATATATACATGGATATGTGTATATATGTATTATATATCATATATATATATGTTTGTGTTTATATGTATGTGTAATACATATAAGCACCATTAAATGAGTATCTCAGTTAAATCAAGAAAAAGATCTATTAGTGATTTGACAGCAACAACAAACCCTTAGCAAATTAGGAAAATAAAAATATTTCATTAATTTTATGAAGAAAATCAACAAAAGCTAGTGCAAGTACCATTGTCACTGGGCTTTCCTGGTGGTTCAGATTGTAAAGAATCTGCCTGCAATGCAGGAGACCTGGGTTGGATCCCTGGATTGGTAAGATCCCATGGAGAAGGGAAGGGCTACTCACCCCAGTGTTCTTGCCTAGAGAATTCCATGGACAGAAGAGCCTGGCAGGTTACAGTCCTTGGGTAACAAAAAGCTGGACACGACTGATCGACTTTCACTTTCCTGTTCACCATTATTATTGGTGACATTCTGAAAATATTTCTTTTGAAATAGGTAAAAAATCAAGTGTGTCCACCAGTTTCCCCACCCCTTTTTAAAAAAGGTTTGGTAGCAGTTGTAGCACATTAAGGGAAGAAAATGAAATTACACATATAAGGATTGAAAAGGAAAATGTAAACTTCCCTTTATCAGATTGTTTGTTACAGAATTTTAAATTACTGAGAAGTGAAATAAATAAATAAGTTAATTTCTAGATTCTTTCTTAAACATCTTTCCTGACCAAGAATTTAATGATTGCTTTTTAAAAGCTGTTAAATGATTTTTGTCCTTTGTTTTTCACTAATTCATCTGGAATGACTCAAACGCACTTTAGTTTGAGTGAAAATGAAAATGCAGTTAAAGAAAAATCTGTATCCCTGATAATTGAGTGGTATTATGAGTATGATGGGTATGGAGTTGTGCAGGATATTACTTTAATCCTCTGTGTTATACAATATACCTATTTGTTTATTAAACTTTATACATAGTAGTTTTTATATTTTAATCCCATACCATAATTTGTTCATTCTCCCTCTCTCTCCCTTTTGGTAACAACAAGTTTGTTCTTACAATGAAAATTAAATGAAACTTTTGTGTGCATAAATAGATTTTACACATAAAAAGTTATAAAATACTTGTAGTACATGAATGCACATGTTATTCTTTATAAAGTTATTTTTAACTTAAGAATTATGAGCCTATGTTGTAACATAGTTATAGGTGTTGATCAATTTCTACTTATAGTCTTTGAAGCCCTTGAAAATATATTGTGAAAATCATTCAGTTCAGTTCAGTTGCTCAGTCGTGCCCAACTCTTTGTGACCCCATGGACTGCAGCACTCCAGGCCTCTCTGTTCATCACCAACTCTCGGAGCTTACTCAAACTCATGCCCATTGAGTTGGTGATGACATCCAAACATCTCTTCCTTTGTCTGTCCTTAAAAACATACTGAAGAATAAGATATAAAAGTAAATATAGCTTCAGAGAAAGTTTAAAACTCTACATAATTTTTTTCATCCTTTCTATTTGTTCTTTTTCCTAAATTTTTTTGGAGTCTGTTTGATTTACAATGTTGTGTTAGTTTCAGATATATAGCAAAGTCAATCTGTTATACATACATATGTATATATATATATATATATATATATATATACACATATATATACACACATATATATCTCCACCCTATTTTAAGTTCTTTTCCCTAATAGGACATTACAGAGTATTGAGCTTCTTGTGCAATAACAGTAGGTCCATACTAATTATCTATTTATACCTAGAAGTGTGTGCCCTGCTGCTGCTGCTAAGTCGCTTCAGTATGTCATTCCTAATCTCCCAATCTATCCCTCCTCCCTTACCTCTCAGATTCAGTTCAGTCGCTCACCCATGTCCAACTCTTTGTGACCCAATGGACTACAGCACGCCAGGCTTCCCTGTCCATCACCAATTCCCAGAGCTTGCTCAAACTCATGTCCATTGAGTCAGTGATGCCATCAAACCTTCTCATCCTCTGTCGTCCCCTTCTCCTCCTGCTTTCAATCTTTCCTAGCATCAGGGTCTTTTCCAATGAATTAATTCTTCACATCAGGTGGCCTAAGTATTGGAGCTTCAGCTTCAGCATCAGTCCTTTTGATTTCAGTGTCTTTTGATTTCATGACTGCAGTTGTCACTGCCCACAGTGATTTAGGAGCTCAGGAAAATAAAATTTGTCACTGTTTTCCCCTTCTATTTACCTGGAAGCGATGGCACTGGATGCCATGATCCAAGGTTTTTGAATGTTTAGTTTTAAGCCAGGCTTTTCACTTTCCTCTTTCACTCTCATCAAGAGGACCTTTAATTCCTCTTCCTTTCTGCAATTAGAGTGGTATCATCTGCATATCTGAGGTTGTTGATATTTCTCCCAGCAATCTTGATTGCAGCTTGTGATTCATCCAGTGTGGTATTGTTCATGATGTACTCTGTGTATTTTCTTGGGCTTCAAAATCACTGGGCATGGTGACTGCAACCATGAAATTAAAAGACACTTGCTGCTTGAAAGAAAAGCTATGACAAACCTAGATAGCATATTAAAAAACAAAGACATCAATTTGCTGACAAAGGTCCACATAGTGAAAGCTATGGTTTTCTCAGTGGTCATGAATGGATGTGGGAACTGGACCAAAGAAACAAAGAAAAGAAGGCTGAAGGCTGAAGAATTGATACTTTCAAATTGTGGTGCTGGAGAAGCCTTGAGAGTTCCTTGGATTTCGTGTAGATTAAACTGGTCAATCCTAAAAGAAATCAACCCTAAATATTCATTGAAAGGACTGTTGTTGAAGCTGAAGTTCTAATACTTTGGCTACCTGATAGGAATAACTCTCTCATTGGAAAAGACCCTTATGCTGGGAAAGATTGAAGGTAAAAGGAGAGGAGGGTGGCATACAATGAGATGGTTAGATAGCATCACTGACTCAATGGATATGAACTTGTCCTACATACAAGTTTCTCAGCAGACCAGTAAGGTGGTCTGGTATTCCCCATCCCTTTAAAATTTCCCACAGTTTGTTGTGATCCACACAATCATAGGCTTTAGAGTAGTCAATGAAGCAGAAGTAGATGTTTTTCTGGAATTCCCTTACTTTCTTTATGATTCAGAGAGTGTTGCCAATTTGATCTGTGTTTCCTCTGCCTTTTCTAAACCCAAATTATACATCTGGACAGTCTCAGTTCAGGTACTGCTGAAACCTAGTTTGAAGGATTTTGATCTTAACCTTGCTAGCATGTGCAATGAGCACAATTGTACAGTAGTGAACATTCTTCGGCATTGCCCTTCTTTGAGATTGAAATTAAAACTGACCTTTTCCAGTTCTGTGGCCCTTGAGTTTTCCAAATTTGCTGACATATTAAGTGCAACACTCTAACCAAATTAACCATCTTTTAGGATTTGAAATATCTCAGCTGGAAGTCCATCACCTCCACTAGCTTTGTTTGTAGTAATGCTTCCTAAATCCCATTTGAATTCACACACCAAGATAGTTGGCTCTGGGTGAATGACCAC